TTTTTTTTTTTAGAGATGGGGTCTCACTCTGGCTTACTCAGGCTCATGTGGGTCTTCTGCTAGTCTCAAACTCAGCTGAGCTCAGGTGATCCACCCACCTCGGCCTCCCACAGTGCTGGGACAACAGGCGTGAGCCACCATGCCCGGCCTAGTTTTTCTGTTTTTGGTAGAGACAGGGTATCACTCATGCTCAGGCTGGTCTCCTGAGCTTAAGCAATCTGTCACCTCAGCCTTCCAGAGTGCTCAGCCTTCCATCACTTCAGCCTTCTAGATTATCCAGAACCCTTTTTTTTTTTTGAGACATAGTCTGACTTTGTTGCCCTTGGTAAAGTGAGCAGCTTGGACTACAGGCACCTGCCATTTTTAGAGAGGGGGGTCTCACTTTTGCTTAGGCTGGCCTTGAACCCATGCAAAAAATAGCAGCTTCCCAGAGTGCTAGGATTACAGGCGTGAGCCACCTCATCCAGCCCACAGAACCTTTTTTATTAACCAATCACAGGCAAGGAAAAGGAATGGGATTAAAAACAGTGCATCGCTAATGAGGATTCAACCCCTGGTGCAGGGGAGGGTGCCAGGCTTTGGGAAAGCATGTGGCCATCAATGTGGGATAAGACTGGAGCTCTGGAAGAATGACTGGGGCGAAAAGTGAGGAAGTTAGCAACAGCTTGTGAGAGCGTGGAGGTTGAGCCACGCTAGCTCTTGCTCATGGAGTCTGTCCCAGAAAGCAAGCTCTTGTTACCAAAATAGCACTACTGATAGCTGTCCATGCAGCCTCACAGATACTGCCCGCAGCCTCTCACTGAGCAGAGCAAGCAGTAAGTTGGAAGCTCTGAAGAGTATCATACATCCTGCACACCACTGTCACACAGAACCCAGAGCCCTCGCTGCACATGTGTCTCTTTTAAAATGCTAAACATTTCTTTTTCTTTTTTGAGACAGACTCTCACTTTGTCCTCAGCAGAGTGCCATGGCATCATAGATCACTGCAACCTCAAACTCCTGGGCTCAACTTGCCTCAGTCTCCTGAGTAGCTGGGACTACAGGCACCTGCCACAATAACCGGTTAGTTTTTGTATTTTTTGTCAAGATGGGGTCCTGCTCTTGCTCAGGCTGATCTTGAACTGCTGAGCTCAAGCAATCCACCCACATCAGCCTCCCAGAGTGTTAGGATTACAGGCATAAGCCAGTGCACTCGGCCCTCAAATCCTGAACATTTTAGAATCTAGAGTCTTGGATATAGAAATTACTGATCTGGGATCATGGGATTGCACTACCTTGTTTAAGTAAGTACTTCATGATGATAGACCATGCCAGGTAGGAAAATAATGGAAATGGACCTATGCC